AAGAAGGAAAAAGAAATTTGTCAATTTAAATCAAAGTAAGACAAGGGAACTATGAATTTATTAGAGCCTCTACATACCAGGTGTGGTGTTGGAAAGCAAGTTTTTGTACTCATTAATATATACATGTACCATAACCATTATGATAAATCATCCATTTTAAGGCATAAACATAAGGCCGTTAGAAGTAGGAAGGAGGATCATGGCTGAGATTGTACTCTTATTCTTCACCAATCACAACCATTATGATATATCATCCATTTTAAGGCAAAAACATAAGGCCGTTAGAAAAGTAGGAAGGAGGATCATGGCTGAGATTGTACTCTTATTCTTCACCAACTTAGTACAAAATTAAAAGTCAACTTTTAGAAGAGAAAAAAAAATTAAAAATTAAAATTAATTTTTAGCTCAAAACTTAAAAAAAAAAACCTAAACCAAAACTAAAGCAACAGTTTTTTTTTTTCAGACTTCTGTTTCCTATAGCTGATCAGTCTTTGTGAATAAAATACATTATAGCAAGACATATTACAGCTTGATTAGGGTCCAACAGAAAATTTACTCGAATTCCAAAATATTAATATAACAAATCAATATTCCAGGGACCAAAAAAAAAATACAAAGTTGTTTTTATCCAAGCAATTGTAGACCTTCTGAAAAAGGAAGATATTTATCTTTCTTATTGTTTGACACTACTGTCACAGGCAGAGTCCTGATCATGACCTGTATACCATTCACCAGAAGTTGTCTGTTAGATACCAGGAAAAGAAAAATTCTTCCCATAAATGTAAACAACCTAAGTTAAACATAATAGGTGGGCATAAAAAAGTTTACTGGATGTGGCAGAGGTCCTATCATTGATGCTCAAAACAGTGATTTACCTCCTTTATCACTGCATGAAAAAGTAGCACTCAAAGGAGTGATCTGATGTTACTGTATTTCTATAACAGGATGTCTTATTTCTCAAACACTACTCTTAAGTGTATAAGGTTAAAAGCAAAGGCTTTCAGTTCTTCACAGTACATTATCCATCCAGGAAGTTATTCTGGGGGAACTTGTCTATGTCATGGAACTACTATTACATCAGAGCTGCAGAAAGTGTTGCAGTTTTAAAACTACATCTTAGCTCTTTTCTGAATCACTGCCTTGAAGATGGCTAGGGGAACAGCTGCAGCTCTATGTTCCCAAAAAACATTTCACTGGCAACAGACCAGAGGCAGTTGGAAAGCTCCAAGGATCATGTGGAGCATGAGCTGTGCCTGGGTGGACTCACCACCCAAGGATCACCACCTACAGGAGGATGTCAGGGTTTTGAGAGGCTCTGCCCTGCCCTGGGGCAGCACTAACAGCCGGGTGCCTTGCCACTTAAAAGCTGTTTACACCCCTAAGCTCCATGCAGGTCTTCTGTGTATGAGTTCAGAAAGAAAAAAAAGATAATTTCTAAGTAGATATACAGAGATTTAAAATGAATAAGGGACTAAGAAAAAAATTGTAATTAGAGCATTTGATAGTCATGCTTTCTTCTGTATTGTGTGGGAAGATACTTTTCAAGATCCACTTGCACATCAGATATTATTATAAGACATGACTTAATGCTGACCTTTTCAAGCAACAAAAGATATGAGTATGAAGGCAGAATACTTGACACAAAGCAATGAAAGGGGATTAGTTTCTCATAAATGTCCCAACAGGGTAGTAATACCTGTGAATAATGACAAATAAAGATGTTTTCTGTTGATTTAGAAAACAATTTTTTTGTAAATTTTTAAGTGATATTACAACTACTCAAAACCCCTATATATTTAAAATTAATACATGATAAAGGTTTAATATATTTATTTAGGTTTTCTGTTCTATCTTTCTTTTCATATTTCAGTAGAATAATAATCTTATTCTAAAACAAAGCATTTTAAAAAACTTCCCTCATAATGCATTTTTATCTTATTAAAGAAAAAAAAAAATCAATCAACTTGAAAAGAGAAATCCTTTAGAACAGTCCAAATTGCCAATCAGATATGTACTGAATGAAAAGACCCCATTACTATTACCTACATTTGCTATTACAGAGGTTGTTCTGCTGAGGTTTAAGGACTAAAACAGTATTACAAGCACTGGCAAAAAGTCAGTGCCTTCTGAAGACTGCTCAGCTCAGGAACAAGATGAAATTGCAATGAGGAAATAAGGACAAAACCCACTTTGTCTCCCTCTTACTGATAGCAGTAGATGCTGCTATTTATTTTTGTCTTCAGTTCAAATAACTTTAAAATATTTCAGCATTGTTAATTACCTTAACTACATTTCCAACCATTATTCTGTATACAGGAATTGTTCCTGCTATCAAAGTAAACTGTTACTTAATTGGGCAGTGAACAAATCACAGCACTGTACCTCTAGCAGCTGAATAGCAAAGTGATATGGTTTCAACTATGTGCCTAAATGCTTCATCAATCTCATACATGGCAGTGAGTGTCCTCATAAAGTGGAAAAGATGCACAAGTGGATTAGGAAAGACTGATAAGCAAATTGCTGCTCTGTATATTGCCCTGTAGCCTCACAGTATTTGGAGATGTATCTGAGCCATTTGGATAAGAAGCGCTGTTCTCTTACTCCCCTGTTACACAGAGATTACCAGGTCAAGTCCTATTTGTACCTATCTTTCCTGGAGATTGTGGTCTCTGCTTTCTACAAAAATTACACTGAATCTTCCTAATTCCATTTTTGTAATCACTATTTTAATTTTCAATTAGCTAGGAATTGTGGGGAAACAAAGAAGAGACATGACCTTGTTACTTCTGACAGTCTTTCAGACTCACCAGGGTTTCAGACAAACAGTGGAGACATTTCCTGTGACACAAAAGGCCGTAAGTGCACCGCATGAACACTTCTGTGGAATACAGTCCCCTCTGAGTGGCTCCTTTGCTTGTTGCTCTTGAGTGGAGCACGGGGAAGGACCCTGCCTCCAAGTGGAGCAGCAGCTCAGCCCATGCAGCCTGTCCCACTTCTCAGGTCACACCTCTCCCAACCCATAGTTTCCCGAGCTGAGCCAGATCTTGAAACAATACAAAGCCCTTCTGTACAACATCAGTGTTTCTGTGTGAAGTTGGGGTAAGGGAGGGGGGATTGGAGCTGTCCATTCTCAGACCAGCATTTCTGTTCCCGCAGCAGGAAGCTCAAGGAAAACTTGAGGGCACAACAACCCAGTCTGGTGTCTGTTTAGAGTCCCACAAAGTAAGATGTTAGTTCAGACCCCAGACAATCAGCACCTTCATAAAAAACCCATGTTCTCACGAATGACATTCACTGTCAGTTCCACCAAGACGGACATAGCCTGGCTAGAGGGTGAACCTGGTCACAATATAGAATATCTGAGGTGCCACTGCACTTGCCAAACCCCACTAACATGTAACTGAGTGAGAACTAGCTCCCTTCAGATCTTCATGGTTTGGTATGTCATGTTAGCACCATATATTTTTCTCCATTGAGACATAGGGATATGGAAGGAACAACTCAAAAATATATCTCAATTGAGGGAAAAACGTTATAAACAAAAGTAAAAACAATTTTTTTCCCTCAATTATGTGAATAATATGGATACTTAATGTTCTGTCGCAACTCAAAAATACATCTCAATTGAGGGAAAAACATTATAGACAAAAGTAAAAACAATTTTTTCCCTCAATTATGTGAATAATATGGATACTTAATGTTCTGTCCTCAATCACTGGTTACAAATTCAAGTTTGGAGGAAAAAAAAAATACGAAAAGCTCAATATTTGAAAATATTTTTCCTTCTGATCCCTCTATGTTCAGATTATTGCCTGTATTGCCTGTTTCACCCAGAAAATCTACTTCTGGCCTTCGAGGTTTTGTACAAACTGCTGCTGCTTCCCTTTTACCAGATTTATCTCTTTCTAGACAAAGCTGTTATGGGCAACAGGCAGTTGAATTATGGACCAGCTAGTCAAATATGCACTTGCCCTTCCTACTACAAATTTCCACGACAGTAATTGGTATGACTGTGTTAATAGCTTCAGAATCATAGTATTAGAGCTACAGAAATTTGGCAGCTATTTTTAGCAAAAGTATATTATGTATGCTACAATTTAGGCACAAATACCATAGTGGAAATTTTTCAAAGGCAATAACTTGCCACTAAGAAATTGCATATATTGATTCTCTGACACAAAATATTTTGAATCTTAGACTATTATCATGAAAGAACCATAAAAAACTGATGTCTTCATTCTTCTGAAAAGATTGTTTCATCTTACTAAAACTATTACACATACACAGCAGATTTCAACTCAGTCAGGAGACTAAATATTCCTAACTAGCTGAAGAAAAACTGCTTTCCAAAGATATAATAAAATTATTTCTACAAAGGTTATATCATTATGTCATGGAAAGGAAAAGCATCAAAAATTATTTTGTGGATATTTTTTTGGAAAATGTTTAGATCTACTGCTACCTTTGAAACATACAGTTCATATATTGTTCCACAAAATTCATTATTGCACATATTTGATTTTTTTGATGCTCTACAGAAGCTGAAGCATGTTACAAAATACTGGGCTCATCCTTAACCAAAGTTTTGTAAAAATGATCCTGCTTTTCTCTAAAAGATAGATGTATCTAAACCTGTTGCTGTCTTGCACAAGCACCTGGGACAGCTACAGCGCAGCAAGTGTGCAGATGGCCAGCACAGTTTTGACAGACAGGAGGAAAACAGTGCTATGATGTTTAACAGATTTACAGTGGACACCACTGGAAAATCAGGCCTTTGTTCAGACCAAGGATGGGAATTATAGTGCAAACCAAATAAAGGCTGAAGTTTATGTTACTAAATTTAATCTATACAGACTGATCATGACACTGTTCCGACCTATGTTCCCCTTTATGCACTAAAATAAACAGCCTTCATACATTCCAGATCTCATTAACAATTAAGCTTGTGAAATTCAATGTCATGATTGAATAATGAATCTCTATAATTTGGATTACTATACCTCACTAAACTGTTTGCAGCATCAGGATCATGTGCTGTTACTGTGCCAACAGGAGTCCCAATCTTTGCGTTTTCGTAAACTTCCATGACATAGGAAGGCATAGTGAAGAGTGGGGGTTCGTCCACATCGCCAACGATGACCTTCAGCATAGTTACGTCTTTGAATGGTCCCAAGTGCGAAAAGCGAAAATCCAGGTGAGTGTTTGCTCCTTCTATATTAAGTGTATATGATTTCTTTTTTTCGTAGTTGAGTGGCTGTTGGCAGAAAAAAAAAAATCTCAGAGACATTCTGTTCTCCAGTTTAGCCTGCTAGCAACTTAACAACAATCTTTTCTGTTTAACTTAAACATTTCTTCCTGTTACTGGAAAGGAATGATATTCTCTGATATTCTGGCAGCCACTGTCATACCTTGTATGTAGAAGGATATAAATGTAGCAGGATGGTTTCAATTTTTCTCTATAACAGAATACTGGAAAAGATACTAGCTTTGGAAATAGCCCAGGATTTAGAAAGAGCCTCAGATTCTACTTTCATTATAATGTAGTGTCTGGATTTTGTCATCTTTTGGTTTTAATCAGTAAATCCTAAATCCGGAAGAAGGTAGAGACTGACGTATCCTGAATTGAAATAGCTTCACATCTTAAATAAAAAAGACATAGACAGTGACAGTGACATTAAAATTCTTTTGGGCATCTCTTTTATTCTCAGCTGAATAAAAGCAACTTCTTACAGGGAAACACTCAATGTAAGAGAGCAGATGTAGTCTGTCTATTTCCAACAGTTTTAAAACATAGTCATATCATTAAAAGATGTTGCATATGAGTGGAATATTTTTTTAGAACCAGGATTTTTATTTCCAGTGTGGCATGGCAGAATTCCACTGATACCAGTATCATTCTGTGTGTACATGACAGTCTATCTAACAACAACTCTTCATCCAAGTTTAAAATGGCATTTCCTGTCACCCCAAAGAGTGACAAAGTAATATGTTAGGGAAGACATATGAGGAACTCAATGTAAGACTTGTCACTGTCAGTGTGCATTTTGCAGATGAAATCTACAATAAATTTGACTGATGGTGTATAAGAAAAATTGGTCAAGATTTATATGCACTTTATACATTTGTTTGATTTCTCCTTTGTGTACTTAAGGACAATTATTTCATTCTCTGAACTCTAACAGTATAAAACTTTTGTGACCCTCATATTATCTGTTTACCTTTCCTGAATGTAAAAATAAGAAGTTCTAAAGGCATGAAAATTTACCATAGCCTGGTAAATCTATTACTACACAAGAAAAAACAGGTAAGTGTACTACTCAAGTCAATTCATAAAGAAATATACATTTGCTAAATTCTAACTCAGATGCCCATTACTTTATGGGTTCTTTTTTGTTATGAGCAGCTAAGTATTGACTAGTGATTTTAATTTCTCTGCAGCATGCATATTCTAAGAATAAACAGGTTTAAAATAGGACTGCAACTTTTATTTTTGATGTCTTTTTGGAAAACTCAGTTTATATTGACAATGACTGAATTAACCTGTATAGTTAATTTCTCTCAGAAATTAATTCTCAGAGATTAATTTCTCTCAGAAAATGCATGAGGAATGACACAAAGTTTTGTAGTAACACAAACTCTTTTATTTAGTTCTTTAATCAGACAATAAGACTTTTCTATTGAAAAAAATCTCTTCAGATAATCAAAAAAACCAGACATTTTAAATGTAGTCAGAGTAGTTTTTTGCTTTCATTTGCTTTTTATTCTTCCTATAACATCTCAGTCATTAACTGTAGATATCAGGTGAGAGACACACTTGTCTTGTGTCTCTAAATATGCAAAACATTTTTGTATTTACTTAAAATTATCATTGTCTGAAGATCATTGTCTTCCCCAGAAAGAAAGGAAAACATTTACATTTTAGATTAATTAATTAAACAGAATTTTTGTTCATGTTTTCTATTTTCCCAATTAATAATATCCATTCATTACAATTACCAACATAACTTCAATATGTATTCATTGGCTATTATGATTTTCATGCCAAACTAAAAATGCCAAATGTAGCTCAAGTGACCAGCTACAGGGCTAACTGGAAAATGCTGCCATGCACTATACTGCAGTTTGAGTTTCTAATGTGAGACTCCCAAAAGAAATCTCAGATTAGGATATCTGTAACTCCCAAAGAGAGTTACAGAATTTTATGGGAAATAACTACCTGTTTTTTGAACTTTTCCAGTTTCATTATACAAAATTGAAGAGACATGGGCTGTTAGTCACTTTTTCAGGTAAACTTGAATAATACTGACTGGCTTGAGGTCAAGAAAGTTCTAAAACATTTTTCTGAAAATCATGACAAAGGAGGAGAATGATGACCATTCTTTTTTTGAAGGATACAGAGAATAATAGCTTTTATTGGGCTATTTTGTTTGTGTTTCCTCCAGTTTCTCACTCAAATGAGGAAATGCATGAGATAAAGTAGAAATACTTAACAACAATTTGTAATCAAGCCCTTTTGGGAGGATCTTTGAGACTGAAGAATGGCTCTACAGGTTTGTCAATAAGAAAGATAATGAAAGTACTGAATATTTTGGGTCAACCCATAATGAGACAAAAAAAGGTTATAATACTCTTAGCCTTTGCATACAAATGGAGGCACTGAAAAATTTTATTTTTCCATCAGAATCTTACATAATGGAAGCTTTAATATTTTGATGAGGATTTCAGGTCATTAGACACAATAATATATTTACCCCTCGATTTTCTGATGTGCCTACTGTAAATTCTTCTGGAGAACTACTAGAAGATAAATAATTTTATTTTAGTGTTATAGAAGGCACAGGTATCTGATATACAAAACCAAAACTCTTCTGTTCTCAGTTTAGATTATTTATTTTGGGTGGGCTATCAAAAAAAATTCAGCTTGAAACCCCATCCAAATAAAAGAAATTACAGCACACAGCATATAATTTACTTATTAAACTGCATACAAGATCTGAGTAAAAAAAAAAAAAAAAATAAAACAAAGTAAAAAATAAAAACAAAAAACCAAAACAAAACAAAACAAAAAAACCAAACCAAGATCACTTTTTTATTACTGTACAAAGGGATAAGGTATCCGAGGAAATAATGTAGGTATTATACACAAATTTATGTAACTTTTAAGTGGCGAATTTCTGCTCAACTGGAATATAACATTACTTAAGCAAAACTTACCTCTTCTTGTCTTGATGTAAAAATGATCCAAATTATTGTCATGTGTATGTAAAAGAACAGCCAACACATGTTTTTGTCATATTTTAAATAATAGTGAAAAAATTTTTGAAGCTACTCTGCAAAACCAGTAAGAAATGTGATTTAACAGATTTTTCTACGTCTTTTATTTTCTTGTAAATTCTTCCTTTCTACTTCATGTTTGGAATATGCATAAATGTTGTAGTTAATGAACAGTAGCCATGGTGTGGGTACAATGCTCATTTTAAAGAAGAAATAACAGATTATGGTTTTAGCTATAGGAAGGCCATCAGGAAATAAATTCAGTGGTATAAAAAAGACAGTTTACTTTTATGTGGTTGAAAAAGGTGGGTATTACATAACCTTTACAAAAGACACAGAGTTAAAGCTTTTTAACATACTGAAAGAGATCTTTTAAATATTTATGAATTATAGAAATAATATTTCCTTGAGTTAGAAACTATTTTTGATACTTTAAATACACATATTTCTATTCAGAAGAAAAAAAAATTCATCCTTTATGATAGTTTTTTATTTATTCTCTTCTTTCATATTTTCTCAGGATTTCATTTATCCAACCATTAATCAAGACCAGAATTCATATTAGCAATTTTGAATATATACTCACTTTTAATTTTTAGGGTCTATGGATACATATAATTTATATCTAGAGGACTCCATAACAACAAACCCACATATGAACTCGCAACTGACTGGGACAAATGTAGGAACTACATATAAATGATAACCCTGAGATAGCTTGCCAAGTCACATTTTTAGTCTTTAGCACAATACTGGATCATTTAGATACCAACTGGAAAGTAAATCAAAGAATAACAGACTATGGAAACTGAATTACACATTCATTGCCACAGGTAAACTTTGTACGCCAAGGTTCAAGCAGGTTGGGGACAAAAATAGAATTTTCACCCAAATTTTACATCTTCTATGGCTTACCTTCTTCAGAGAGAGAATTCCTTCTCTTGTTTCTTTGTCAGTAGATATGGAGAATACCCCAGCGCCATCACCATTTATTATTGTGTACTTCATGTCTGCGTTTGAACCAGTGTCTGCGTCATTTGCTTTGATTTTGCCAACTGCTGACCCAACTTGAGCTGACTCAGGAACATACAGTTGATAATGTTCTGAGGGGAAAAAAAAATAATAGCTTGGATATTTTCTAGTCAAACCAATTTAGAGAACCATTAGCTACTTGGTAGATGTCTGAGTCAATGGAAGGGTACTTATGTGTTTCGTGAAGTGACAAATAAACATAGGAATTTTTTAGATCCCTGAAAGAATTCAAAACCAAATTGTATTTTACTTGGGATGCTTTCATTCCCTATTCAAAGTCCAAATTACCTAATGTAGGATTTTAGTTTTCACAACTACTGCTGTACATCACACAATACAGAATTTACTCATACCAGTATTTTTACAAGTTTATATTCTCCATAACTAAAATATATATATTTCATCAACTTACAATTAAATGCATGGTCAAGTGAGTACTTTTGAATTCAAAAATATGTTGTATTTTTTCCCAAAATCCAACCATTTTTGCACATTGCATCAACATTTTCAACACATGATTTTTACTAAAGAAAAATAGAATTAATGTTTTACCTTTTGCACAAAAATTTTAACTGCCATCCATAGTAAATGAAAATAAACATAACGGGTACAAAGAAGTACTACACATTTGTGCCCAGAATTTTTCTTTACAGTTCTGGCCTCCTTTCAGTGTTTTTGTAACCTGTTAGATTAATAATTAGTAAGTGAAATATTTTTGAAAAATAATCTTCTAAACTGTCTCTATGCTTTTGTGTAAAATTTTCTAAAAGGTACAAAGTCTTCTGGTGGACAAGAAGTTGCCACAAGGAAATAAAAGTGGCAAAGAGACATAGTGTCATTACATAAACCTCAATCTCCATCTGCAGCTAAGCCAGAAAAACAGCTTAAGGAAGATTTCTCCAATATTGCCCCCCTTATAATACAGCAGGGATGATGAAAACTACCAGAACTGAAAAGAATAATTCACATCCAATAGCAGGTGTGCGCATACCAACGACATAATAATTTCCCATCTAAAAAACCCCAATCCAAATGCCTCCATAACAGTCTACAGAGTTCACATCACAGTCCAACCACCAACACAGTAAAAAAGAAAAATAACTTCTGTCATTACAGATCTTCTGAAACTCTACCAGGGTTCCTTTTATGTTCCTTGATGGCCTTCTATGGCAGTCAGTGCAATAGTGCAAAACTAAGTGGCAGTACAATGGATCAGCAGATTTGAAAGGGGACATATAAAAGTTAACACATTGTTATGGGCTTGAGCCAGGTAGTATGACTGCAGAGGTGCCCTTGTTAAGCATGTAGAAAAAGAAAGGCAAAACTAAATTGAATTCAGAGATTAAACCTGAATAGTGGCAGAAACCCACTACTGTTTGGATGGATTGAAGAAATTATCAACCTACAGAAGCTGCAATTTAGAAAGGGAATACATGTCATCACTAAAATATAACTGCCTTTATCGTCACCTGCTAGAAAACTGAAGATTAATTATAAATTTATATAATTTCTTGCACAATTGTTCTGAAACCTATTTGTTGTTTTTAATTTTTTTTTTATACTAGCTCATAGTACTTGTAAACAACTAGTGGTGTGATAAGGATGGACAGGTGCATTAATCTTTGTTAGTCTAAAGGAAAAGCAATTTCAGAGGAAAACAAAAAAATTAGTTATTATTCATTAGGAAATCTTAAGGAAAATAAGAAATATCCAGCAGAACAAGAGAAAAAATAGAACTTAACACGTAAAAAATTAAAATACCAACACTGATGTAACAGGACAATTACTTAATTCAATTAAAATTCATAGTTAATTCTTTGATGCAATTCTTTGATATGCGTGCAAAAGCCACCTACACAAATTTCCAAATAAATTTCCTGCAAAATTTTGTGCTTACAGATGATGTGAACTGACACTTTTTTATTGCTGGTTGCTTTATTTCATAGATAAAATTATAATAATGTGTTGCGAATAATTTCAAAATTTACTTAGTGTTAAAATAAATGCAAAATATGTTTTTCTGACACTTTTGCTCTTCCAAAAAGGAAAAGGTTAAGGTCATTAAGAATATGTTCTAGAATCAAGCCACATCTGGACGTGTTATAATTCATATGATAGGGTGAACTAATTGGAGTCTTTCAAATATTTGAGCTTGTTCAAATATATTTATCTAAATGACACTATGCTCTGCTTTATAATCACACCCCAAGTGTTAGCCATCTGTTTCAGAAAATTGCTGATACCTATTTAAAAGACTCTGAGATACTAAAACTTCAAGCAAAACAAATATTTGAAATGACTCATGAATTATGTCAGTTTTTGTAGAAATGAAATGTTAAAAAATGTAGACAGAATTAAAAGAAAGCTGTTGAAAAAATAAAAAACTCTCAGGTCAGAAATGTCTCCCAACAAGTATTTAACCACTACTTCATAGAAACAGGCTGGCAATATCTCATACAGACATGAGCCAAATAGATAAAAACAAAGAATACTATCTAAAAAAACTAAACACGTACAAAGATAAAATTAAGCAATATGAATGTTACAGACATTTTTTAGACTAGTGGTGAAAATGGAAATGTTAAACACTAAATAGTTGTAAACTTTATTGCTAGCAAAAGAAACTGACAAAAGGCAAAATCAAGCCCTGGAACAGACTTCCCAAAGAAAAGGTCACAGCACCAATCTTGTCTGAGCCCAAGATGGATTTGGACAATGCTCTCAGGTACACACTGTGGCTTCTTGGGTGCTCTCCACTGGGACTTAATGACTCACTTAATGTCCTTTTAAACTCAGCATAATCTGATTCTGATTCCATGAATGTTTCCTTGGGTATTGGATAAAGAAAGTTTGATAGGACACTGTAAATTATAGGATGTGCATACTGTGAATTTACAGTTCTGTATTGCAAACTATGAGTCAGTCTCAACCCTCTAAAACAATTGATTGGGAAGATAGGAGCCCTGAGAATCAGGTATGATCAGTTTATAGCAAAACTTTTCCATCAAATCTGACCATGTTGAACAGATTGTTCTTATTCTTCCAGTACTGCAGACTTCCAGGAGCTGTTGTGAAGCAGAAATTTTTGGGGGTGGTCTAATTTTTTCTAGAGGAGCTGTTTCTTACAGATAAGAATCTTGGCTGATTCAGTTCTCAACTTTTATCACATTTGCTCACATGCCTTCCCTTTGCTCATGATATGAGGAATTTAATACTTTTTTCAAGGTAATGTACTGTATAGGATACCACTTTGCAGGACTTTAATCGGTGCCAATTGAAACATTTTCTAAATTCAAGTATATGGTCTTCATCTTTCAATAAACTTTATGGCTTATCTGTCATAATACTACAGAAATAATTTATTTACCTTCAGAAAAATATACTTTAATTTCAATTAGCCTACAGGCAACCTCCAAGGTTGTATCCCACTTACAGAAAAGAGAGTTCTCTCTGTCTGAACCTCTCAAAAAAGAAGTGTAACAGTATTTAATGAAAATAAATTAGCATACTATTGAAATTATTGTATTTAGTAATCTATTATATTCTGTTGATAATTTTGATTAACTTTTACAGGTTACAATGTCTTCTTGAACATAGACATAGACATAGAACCTTTCAAGGTTTTACTAAACAAGACTCTAAGTGACTTGATCTTGCTGAACCTGCTTTAAGCTGGGCTTGGGGTAGGATTAGTTTTTCAAGTCTCATGTGAACCTATGATCCTATGGTTTACAAAGGTATGTCTCATGTTTCACTTCCTGCCATCTTTGATAAAACTAAAGCAGAGCTTCAGCTGTGGACTGTGCTCAATCTTCCTTGGTAGCTATCTTTGAGAAAGCTATCCTTAATTCACAGAGCTGCTTGTTTTCATTACATGCAATAGATTATTCTGGATTTCTCTTTATCAATTGCAGTCTTTTTAGAAGCCTATTTGTCACAGTATGTCTTAGACATATGTCACATGTTCCTTTACTATGCTTATTTTTAATGTAATAAATCCAATTTTAATCCATCATCATTATAAGTACAGAAACGTTTATGATTGCAGAAGTTCAGTCAATTTTATATCTACTAATTTTGATCTGAATATTCTTAATGACAACATCTATTTCATGAAACGAAACTAATTTTCAAGGGGTATGTTTGGCTTACTCTTGCTCCTTGACAATAACTCCAATGCTACTGCACTTTCTAAATGCATTTTAATTATAGGTGACAATACTTTTTATTTGCAAATATCACAATCAAAACTTAAAAAAAAACCCTTCAAACTTTTGCCTGCCTTGAAAGTCTGAAGAACATAGAAACCTTGGGTCAATTTAGGAAAAAAAACCCCAAATGTTCTTTGATGCGGGAGACTCTTTTGGCTGAAACAAGACTTGTACATCTCAATGTCTTTGCTTTTTACATCTCAGTGCAAAACATGAGTTATGATTAAGATTTTAATCAGTGATGACTTTATGTTCCATGACACTTTGCCTTGAGAGTCAATAACTGAAAGTTCATGAAAACTTTCTGACCTCAGAATACTGAATTTTTGATCGTGGAGAATAAAAATATTCTGTCTTTTTGTAAAAATTGTGATGTTTATGTTGCTCATAGCTAAAATCAGAAACATAAAAAAACCTGAGTTTCTCCTGGATTTACTACTTGCCTTTAGGTATTGAATCCCCAAATACATATTTTCTATGCAAATGACATGGGAAAACAACATATGCAGTCCATAATAATCACTAATGAGGAACTTAATTGTTGGATGTGATCTGTAGCAGTCTCTAAAGGCTGTGCTCTGTTCAGCATATTTTATGCTACATAAAGGGGAACAATTGCTGCATCAGGCAGCTTGGGTAAAGCAGAGAGCAATAGCAATACCTGTAAAAGGGTTAAACTCCATTTGGTCTGTGTTTGTTTTGTTGTTTGTATGCTTGCTTTTCCCTGGCACTAGTACAACTAGGATTGTGATCACACTGGGGTTTAACTTCATAAAGGACATGAAAATTAAGGCTTTCCAAAGAACACTCCTCAAAATGGAGTGGTCCTGCTCCCAATTCTCTACTCGGAGAGAAAAACA